AAAAAAAAAATGACCGACCAAGCAGTCTTTCTTTATAACTCGATAATTATATCATGTGATAATGGACCAAAGTGACCAGATGTATGATAAAGAGCAATTCAACGGCAACAGGTGGCAGTGCATTTAACTGTTCAACCGCCTTCCACGTTCTAGCATAAAATTTTCAGGCATCTGGAAAGGAGCATGGCTTCTGTGCTGAACTTTAGAAAGTTGCACTTAAGTTGGTCTATTATAATTTTGTGACTGGAAACAGCGCCATATTCCTACAATACACGATTGGTCAAGTTTCAAGATATTTAGCAAAAGGAGCTTTTGTCCAAAATTATCTTATTCTTGGGGCCTGATCTTCCTTCATTTACCGTTCACTCGTATGTTTAGAATTTTAACTCAGTCCAGAAAAATATGCTAATAAAAGTGCTGTAGAAATTGTACTTGATAGTCTTCTGTGACTGGAACTTACAATTTTAAGTGAAATTTTGAACCTACTGCAACAATGGCAAAACTACATGACTTTTAGTATGCGTTTTTACAGTTTTTTCAATTTTAAAACTGTGTATTCAATTTTAGACAAATTAATGACACACAGCAATGCTTCTAACTGTTCAACCGCCTTCCACTTTCTAGTATCAAATTCAACAACTTCCGGTATTTTTAGCCGAACGTGAGTTCAGTCAACTTTTTAACGCTTTGAAATACAAGTCAGTTTGTGATAACTTGTTTATTTATATGTATAGATACCCAAATCAACTTTCTTTCTAAAATTAGTTACACTGCAAAATTGATGGGCCATCACGGAAGTCAAGTCCAGATGGGTACAGTTAATGCTCTTCACAACAGCAACAGGGGCGACTAAAAGCTGCAATTGAAAAAACAGCGTAAAGCAATGGCTCTCCTGTCCACAAGTAAAGGTGATGAACCGGTAAGAGTAAATTACCAAAGCGCATGGAATTAAACAATGCTAAGCAGCTTTGGGATATACCTCATAATGGTTGGCACTCTGCCAAGTAACAGGTTCTGGTATAATTTGCCGGATCTATCCGAAGTAGTGAGAGTCTTTTGTCACAATTCTCTTGCTTCAGGAATTTTGACTCCAAAAAACTGTGCATGGGTGCAGAGGAGGAACAAGAGAGAACTAATATTGATTCTAGCAACTCTGATGTTTCTATTAACACCTGTAAAGGCCTCGGAAATATAATTTTTTCATGCTTCTCTTTTTGTTATCGTTGTTGTCGTTTTACTGTCGTCTTTGGATGGAATACAACGAATATTACGGATGCCGTTGCTTGTGGTTCCCGAATGATAGTTTATATCTGTCTATTATCCTTCGTTTCACTTTATTTATCAGCTCTGGTAACATTGAATTTAAAAGTATGTCGAAGAAACGTTGCTTATTTGAGTTCTTGTCTCCAGTGGATGGAACTACTGCTAAAACACTTAAAGCAGTATAAATTTAAATTGGCTTTTATATTGTGTTAATGGGTGACATGAGCTTTTTAGTATTTTAATATGCTCAAAATTAGTTTCAAACGAGTGAAGCTTACACAGAGAAAGCATGAATTCTTTTACACATACCAAAGCCGTGATTCAGATGCTTGTTTTCACTGCTTTTTATTACCAGACACGTGTAGATGTTACAATGAAAGGGAAACCACTCAAGGTCTTCACCCATAATTTTTTGCCAAATTATTGCGTTTTCCTTACTTACTGAATCTTTAGGTGGTAATTGTCATTGAAGTAGGATCCTTTTAATTCTAGAATCTATCAGTTTTATATGTTACTTCTGAGAGTAGCACTTGCCTGTACTATTTGGATATTTTGGCGCTTCAGTGTTAAAGTGATAGTCTTATCTGTATATTTGGAGGAAGGTTGTGTTGGTCAGGAAGGGGTAGTTTCGAATGGTAGAAGGACGCTTTTAAGATGGT